GCACTATTCACAACAGCCAAAAAGTGAAAATTACCCCATATCCATTAATAGATGAGTGAACAAAATGTGGTATATCCATACAATGGAATATTATTCAGCTATAAAAAGGAATGGAGTACTAATACATACAATGTGGATGAACCTTGAAAATAGTATACCAACTGAAAATGCCAGACACCAAGATCAAATATTATATAAGTCCATATATATGAAGTGTCCAAAATAGGCAAACCTAGAATCAGAATCTACTTTCTGTTGTCAGGAATTGAGGGAGTGACTCCTAATTGGTAGGGAGTTTCTTTTGGAGTGATGAATATGTTTTGAAACAAGTTAATGGTGGTGTCGTACAACCCTGTGAATATAAGAAATGCCACTGAATTTTTTACTTTGAAAGTTGAGTGATATGGCAGGTGAATTATTATCTTGATTTTTAAAAATTCAATCAGGATCCTGTCTACAGGCAACAGGTATATCAGGCTAAAATTTGACTTTCAAAAAATTATAAATATAAAAAAAATAAGACTGGTTTCTTGATGCAGTTTGAAATCTAGCTGAGGGAAATTCCACAGAGGACTTTTTAAAAGGCTACAATTAGTGGCCATACACACTCTCCCAAGGTGACTACTTTGTTAAAAGGACAACTCACTTTCAGATATGGAGGTTCTACCAAATACACTAAAATTATCATGGACTGTTGGAAAACATCAAATTCTACCACATCTATTCATTTCCTAAATAAAATTTTGATCTTGACATTGTTCATGTAATCCTTATACCTTCCAACAACTACTTTTTAAAAAATATATATTTTATTGTTTTTTTACAGAGAGGAAGGGAATGAGATAGAGAGCTAGAAACATCAATGAGAGAGAAACATCGATCAGCTGCCTCCTGTACACCCCCCACTGGGGATGTGCCTGCAACCAAGGTATATGCCCTTGACCGGAATCGAACCCGGGACCCTTGAGTCCGCAGGCCGACACTCTATCCATTGAGCCAAACCGGTCAGGGCTCCAACAACTACTTTTAAGACTGGTGAGCCCTGACTTGTTTGGCTCAGTGGATAGAGCGTCGGCCTGCAGACTGAAGGGTCCTGGGTTCGATTCCAGTCAAGGGCATGTACCTTGGGTTGCGGGCACATCCCCAGTGGGGGCTGTGCAGGAGGCAGCTGGTCGATGTTTCTCTCTCATCGATGTTTCTAACTCTCTATCCCTCTCCCTTCCTCTCTGTAAAAAATCAATAAAAAAAATAAATAAATAAAGACTGGCGTTACTCACAAAAACACTTGGCCACAATCCAAATCAAGTCCAAAGGCTAAAATATGAAATTGCTGTCTTTCTTTCTTTTTTAAGGTTTCAAGTTAAATCAAGCTTAAATCAACATCCCACACTTTTATAAGAATTACTTTACAGCCTTAGCTAGTTTGACTCAATGGATAAAGCATCGGCCTGCGGATCGAAGGGTCCCAGGTTTGATTCTGGTCAAGGGCACATGCCCGGCTGCAGGCTCAATCCCCAGTAGGGGGCATGCAAGAGGCAGCCGTGACTCATTGATGTTTCTATCTCCCTCGCTTCCTCTCTGAAATCAATAAAAACATATTTTTAAAAAAGAACTACTTTACAACTCAATATTCTAAGATCAGAATTTACATGGCACAGACCATGCTGCCATTCTTTAAAAGAAGAGATTTCAGTAAACTGTGGTTTAGTATGCAGGAGCTTTTGTTGCATTTTAATTATGAGTCCTAAAGTGAATAAAGAAGTTGCGAACACACACACATACCCTTAAGTAGAAAAGGCATTAGAAGGATAAACAATAGCTGAAGTCAGACTGGTTTTGAATTCATATATCTTGTCAAGAAAACTTAACCAGTGTTGTTACGGAAAGGGCTGGGACGGGGAGTCTTGGTGCTAGCCCTAGTTCTGCCATTAACTAGCGGAGTAACCTCAGCAAAGTCATTTGATCCTCTGTAGGCCACCGTTTTTTCATCAGTAAAATGAAAGAACTGGACTCCACAGTTACTAAGTCTTAAACTCTCATCAGGCTTTAATTCTATTCTTAAATAGCTTAGGGCTGTAGGAGGCCCAGTAATTACACACTAGGCAACTCCCGCAATTACACACTAGGCAGTTCTGATATTTTTGTGGACTTAGGCATCCATACTATATAGAGTAAGAGAACTACTAACTACAGGGAAGAAGGAAAAAGAAAAGTGCAAACAGCTCCTGCTGGTTCTGGTTTACTCCTGTTGGACCTAATAAAGAGAAAGCACCTTGGCCAACTTTCCATTGAATAGGAGTGGTTCCTATGTCTCACCACACCCATTATAGTTGGTTTTTCCTAAAAGAAATCCAGTGGGACTCTAAAAAATGCCGAAAAGCATCAAATACCTTTAGTCACTGCATGACTAATAGAACAGATCAATTCTAAATTAAAGAAATAAAACAGCTTTCCCCTTCTATACAGAAAAAAAATAACAGCTTTTATTCCACAGTCAAGTAGCCCTAGATGACCAGTGAGTTCCACAGATACTTAGCAATAAACAGTGTCAATCCAAACAAAATGAATTATCTATAGAACTAGAAAGTTCAAAACACTGAGGTTCAACATAGCATGATCATTCAACATAACCTTTTGATACAATTCAGTTTAAAACTCCAACTTCCAGAGTAAAAAGCAGTATTGAAGGCTTGCTGAGATTCATCACCTCTTTCACAGCAAGAGATCATCAGACCTGTGATGATAGAAGGCACCATCATAAGTACTGGTTTGTGTAAGTCAAAGATCAGATAAATGAGGCCAACAGAAGTTGTTTCAGGTGGCTTCCAAGATGACTTTCCAGAAGAGCTCCAAAACAACAGGACAGTCCTAGAGAACCTGTCTCCCCCTGATTTGCACAGAACACACACACACTTTTAAAATAGCTCTTTGTCAAATATAGTTGAAGAAGCCTGGCCACATTCCTTTCAGGAGGGATATAAAGCTGTGGTTTAAAATCTGGAACCCATGCTTGGACCTCTAGATAGTACATGGATGGACTTCATGAAGTCAGTAAATTCCCTGAATGAGCCCTTGGGCACTCAAAAATTCTGAGAGACTATACACAAGCGGAAGTTATGAACCACTGATTTAAAGCCAGATATAACACAGAAGAAATCTACTGGAGGTGTCCATATGAATAAGACAGGAAGTAATATCTGCTATTTGAGGTGCAAAATAACAAAGGGTGCCGTCATTTCAAAGCAAAACAAAATACGATCTGATGGTCAGAATTCCTTGAGGGTCAGAGAGTCCACTCCCTTCATCCTTTAGTCTAGATGAGGAAAATGAGCTGAGAGACTTTTGCCCAAAACCACAGAATCACAGGGCTAGTAAGTTGCAAAGTTGAGTACCAAATTAGGCTAGGTTTCTGCCAAGATGCTATGTTGATACTTTTTTCAGAATGGGTTTGAGCAAAATTTCACAAATCTTTCACAAAAGCCAGCACATAGCAAATCTATAACGGGGAACTTTTGTGGCTCATTATCCCCTATCCTGTTGCACTATGACTGCAATTTGAAAAAGCAGCACAGGTCACAAGCTCATTGAGTGAAGCACTTCTAAATGTAATGGAAAAAGACAGCCACTGACAGCCTTTTAATAAAGATACTGAATCAAGGTCAAATTGACGTCAGATTTGTAGCATTTCAATCTGCAAGCTCCTCAACCTTCTAAGGAGTCTGTCTTCCTCTTTTAAAAGTTAACATCTAGAGTGTTGCTTAAACATTAAATGACTTTTTCAACCCAGGTAATGGGGCCATTTATAAATTAAATTGAGAGCAACCTTTCCAGTTCCATGTTCACAAACAGTACATGTAGTAGAAGCAAAGATAATAGGCAGTTATTCTGGGATCAAATTAAAAAGTAATTATTGTCATAAAAAGTTACAGGACCATTTGTTCCAATGCCAAACTCTGCCTGAGCATATGAAGTTTAAGGTAATCAAAAACTCAATCTCACCTGAGAAGTGAAACCAAAGTGACATTTGAACCCAAGTTCAATGACAGCATGTCCTTCAATTTCAAAGTGGTTTATTAAAAGACATGTCATGGCATAGGATTCTATGGCATATACAGGGTCTTTAAAGACGTACATTATGGTAAAGTTGGTGATCTCTATTTAGCCCTTTCTGCAAGCTCTCGCCCTAGTCTCCCACCTCCAAAGGTGTAACAGGAATAGGCCTTGGGAAGCACCTGTGGCCTCAAAGGCTTTAACCAGTTCTCCAGGCTTTCTTGGCTGCCGTCTAGAAGAAGGTCTGACCATTCTATTTTGGGGCAAGGAGACTCTTCCTCCACCCTCGGTGACCTCAAGTGGGCAAGGACAGTTTGGGGTAAGGCACTGTGAGTGTTTTTTCGCCAGGCCGGGGGCCCCCACTGAGAGACTCGGGAAGGCTCGGAAAAAGGATGGAGATCTGGTCGCAATCGAGGCGGCAAAAGAATGCGGCTGGGCTGCCGGGCTCACGACAGTCTGTCTGCTCGGGATCCAGCGGCCCCAGGCCGGGCCGTGGCGTCGGGATCACTCGAAGCAGCAGAGGTTTCCCGGGACACGCAGAGGGAGGGCGGAGGGAGGGCACAGGAGCGAGGTTACGAGCCTGCAGGTGTCTGCGGGGGGAGGGGACGAGGTCGTCCAGGGCTGGCACAGCCAAGTGACTAAGCGTGCGGCTCTGAACTCGAACAAACCGGTCCCATTCTCAGGCTGCATGACCTTGAGTTCGTGGCTTGACCGCTCTGCGCCTCAGTTTCCTCGCCTCTAAAATGGGGGTTGGCCAAGCGGAAAACGCACCTCGGAGCGCTTGGCACGGCGCCTGGCACCTCGTAAGCGCTCCCGACATGAGAGCTACTACTGGCTCTCGGGCTCCGCTCGCTGCCCAGAGAAAAGAGGGAAGTCCCGAGCAGGGGAGTCCCCAGAAGGCGGATTCCGGGCTGGGGGGGAGGGGGGGAGAGCCGGGCCGGGGGACTCACCAAGTACGTCCGCTGAACGGTGCCGGGCCACGAAGCACGCGTCGTCCCCGTAGCACGCACCCTTCTTGAGGAGGCCCTTACGGAAGTCCTTGCCAAAGCCGCAGCTGGCCGTCACCAGCCCGTAGTCGCCGCCGCTGCCGCCGCCGCCGCCGCCGCCGGCCCTGGGGTCGGTCTGCGAGAGGCCGCCGAGCACGGCGCGGGCTACCAGCCGCCCGTACGAGAGGACCGAGAACATCGCCGCCGCCGCCCCCCCAAGGAGGCGGGGGGCCCGAGAAGCAGGAGGACGCGGAGGCCCGGAGCCGGTTCTCTCTTCAGCCGCAGCCGCGCCGCCGCTCGGGCGCTCCTCAGGGCGGCGCGCGGTCACTGCCGCCGCCCGTGCCCGTCTCGCGGAGCCTCGCACACGCCCCGCCGCGCGCACGGGAGCCAGAGCGAGGTCAAAGCCGGCGGCACCTCCGCCTCAGCCCAACTGGGGTCCCGGCTGCAGCCACCGCTGCCGCCGCCATCTTCCGCTCCACTAGCGTGTTCCGGGCCGCGCCGGGAGCACCGCCCCCCTCTGTGGGCCCGCCCACATCCCCGCCCATTATTCGCGGCTTTGCCCAAGCCCCGCCCCTCGGGCTCGGTGCCCTTCGCAATCACCCAGGTCGAGAGTGCGCAGAGGGTGTGGACGCAATGTCTCCTGGGAGTTGTAGTCGCTTTTTACTTCACTGCCTAGTATCCAGGACTTCGAGGATTTCCCCTAGAAGCGGGACCTAAATTATTGAGAATTAAGGTGGACTGTTTGAAAGTTTTCTCCCCTGTTTTAAGCATATCTTTTAAAGGCTATTGTTTTAAATAACGCCACCATTCCTTTAAAGAAAAACCTGAAAGAAGCTAGGATCAGGTCATGAATATTATTCTATAGTATATACATTAAAGAAATTGAAGTACACAAACCTAGTGACACCTTCAGAATTTATATACTGGAAGCACTAGGGCTGGCAATCTGGAAAGAAGAGCCGTTTTGCATAGTATTTAGGAAAATTCGAGAAAATGTTGTATGTCCCTATTAGAATGGGAGAGGGGGCGTGAGTGTGGGCAAGTAGTGACAGAGATACAGACACGGCCACTGCAGATGTTATAGAGAAGTGTTTCAGACTTCGTAGATGATTCTGCCAAATTGAGAATAAATAATTCCAGGCCCCAAATTTCGTTGCCCCAAATCTTAATTTTCTTGTGGATCCACCTGCAGGTCTCCCAACCTCTGGCTTGGGTGCCGGGAGAGGTGGCGCAGTACCAAAGACTTGAGAGGGTATGGACGCCTTTTCCTTTCTCCTTCACAGCGCCACCTCTTCTTGTCCAGAGGACAGTCCTTGGCAAGAAAGGCAGCTCCCCTACTTATTCTTTTGTTAGTTCTCAGCCCACCACTGACATGACAGTATCCTTTTCCAGATTTTTTACTATTATTTAAGCAACCTTCTTCTGAAATTATTTAGGTTGAATAATAACTAAATTTAATGAGATTTGCTCACCAAATAACAGGTTCGTATGTGTGTATGAATGTACATTCAGATTATATACCATGCCTAGGGGTGCTGTCCATAATCTAGCTTTTACACTTCATTTGGTGTCATGGGACGACCCCTTCACTGAAGGCTCCAGCCATGCTCACAGCTACCTTGGGCCTTAGCTCTTGGTCTTCCTTCTACCCACTAGAATGTAACTCCATTATCTGGACATTTGGGCACACAGTGAGTGAGTGAATGAATGAATGAATGAATGAATGAATATTTCACTAGATCCTAAGCTTTCCAAGGGCAAGGATCATTTGCCATTGTATTATTAGATCTAATGCAATCCCTGCCTGGCATGCAGTAGGGTATTTCGTAAATGTTTGTTGAATAAAAGAATAATTGAATAGGAACCTTAAATAATATAAAACGTAATGTTTTTTGAATAAAGGAATGATTGAATGAATGGGGTTCACAAATAAAAGAAAATTGAGATTAGATGCAAGTGATCCAATTTGGAATGATTTTTAGTTTTATTGAAACATAAATATAGTCTGGCTGGTGTGGTTCACGGTTTGATTCCCTGTTAGGGCACATGCCCCAGTTGTGGGCTCCATCCCCAGTAGGGTGTGTGCAGGAGGCAACCAATTGATGATTTTTTTAAAAAATATATTTTATTGATTTTCTACAGAGAGGAAGGGAGAGAATAGAGAGTTAGAAACATCGATGAGTGAGAAACATCGATCAGCTGCCTCCTGCACACCCCCTACTGGGGATGTGCCTACAACCAAGGTACATGCCCTGGACCAGAATCGAACCTGGGACCCTTCAGTCTGCAGTCTGATGCTCTATCCACTGAGCCAAACCGGTTAGGGCCAATTGATGATTTTTTCATCATTGATATTTCTATCTCTCCCTCTCTCCTCCTCTCTCTGAAATCAATAAAAAACATTATATATATGCCGAAACCGGCTCAGTGGATAGAGCGTCGGCCTGCGGACTAGGGAATCCCAAGTTCGATTCTGGTCAGGGGCATGTGCCTGGGTTGCGGGCACATCCCCAGTGGGAGATGTGCAGGGAAGCAGCTGATTGATGTTTCTCTCTTGTCGATGTTTCTGACTCTCTGTCTCTCTCCCTTCCTCTCTGTAAAAAATCAATAAAAAATATATTTAAAAAAACATTATATATATACTGCATTGGTCCTTTTCCAGTTCACTTTTTTTTTTTTTTTTTTAAATATATTTTATTGATTTTTTACAGAGAGGAAGGGAGAGAGATAGAGAGTTAGAAACATCGATGAGAGAGAAACATCGATCAGCTGCCTCCTGCACATCTCCTACTGGGGATGTGCCCGCAACCCAGGTACATGCCCTTGACCGGAATCGAACCTGGGACCTTTCAGTCCGCAGGCCGACGCTCTATCCACTGAGCCAAACCGGTTTTGGCCCAGTTCACTTTTAACAGAAGTGTAGTTATTCCTGGGGTTCCCATCTAATTCTTTAAATTATTGTTTTTATTAATGTACCTAAAGTCCTGCCAACCATCTACTTAAAGCACCTTATTCTGTTTTATTCTGTTATCCTAATTATTGTCATTAAACACTTTTGCAGTTTACAATGTGCCAAAGTACTCTATATGTTTCTGTCCTTAAGGGTTTTCATCAAAATTGGATGGAATAAATCGTTTCACATAGTGAGTGGCCTTTTGTCAAATATGTAGACCAAAAAAAGTTCCTTTACTGGGTAGAAGATAGAGTGATCCCGAGCTTGCAATCACACCTTGCTATTTTTTTATGGCCCACAGCAATTGGAGAGCGCCCAGAAGAGGGGGCGGAGCCTTGTGGAGCCTCTGCTTGGCATTTATGTCTATGCCAGCTGTGTTAAAGGTTGCTCTTTCGAGCACACACACCACTGTCAAATCCCAGCCAGGCTGTCAGGTAATTCTACCCCAAGGACAAACTTTTTAAAATAGCATGTCCACCCCTTTCCTTGCCTCATCAGCTCCTTCAGATTGCTCCGGCCTTTCATTTCCAGGGCATGTATTACTAATTTCTGTGTCATTCACAAGGACCGGTTGGATGAGATGAGCAGGAACGTAAAATGTGACTCTGAAGCTGGTAACCTCTGCTCTGATGGAGCTGCTGTTTTCACAGTGAAGTGATATGGGTCACTTGAGTTTCTTGCAAATGAGCTTCCTGCAAATGAGTTGCTCACCAAAGTACAATGTGCACAGAATCCTTTCTCAAAGCTCCGTTGCACTTTTTGGAAAGGAGAGGAGACAGGGCCTCAGGTTCCCTTTGAATCATTTATTCCAGAGCCAGCGTTGAAAAGTTTCACCATGGTGGAGAAGCCAGGAGGGGGTGCTTTGAAAAAAAACACCAAACCACTTTTCCCTGATCTCTCCCCGGAGCACAATTCACTTTGGACATTTTGCTAGACTTAAAAAGCCCTAACGAGTTTTCTCCCTTAACAGAGTTACATTCTTAACACTTCAAGGATTCCTGGGAGGTCAGTTGTCACTCTCGGTGGCGAAGAAGTAGTGAAAATACCATCTGTGTTCCCAGGGCACCTCGATGGCATTGGGAAAGAGTTTTTGCACTGGAGTTACCCCCAGCTCCTAAAAAAAGAAAAGGGAAAAAAAAGAGGCATGAATTCCCTAGTGAGATTTTCTGCCAGACTGGTACACCGATCTCTTCTGATTTCTATTTGCTAACCTATTCAAAAGGAGCACAAATTAGTTTATGGCAAGGTTTCTCAACCTTGGCACTACTGGCATTTGGGCCAGATTATTCTTCATTGTGGGGGGTGTCCTGTGCATCAAAAGGGGCTTAGCAGCGTCCCTGGCCTCTACCCACTAGATGCCAGTGCGTGCCATCACCTCCTACTTGGGACAACCAATAATGTCTCAGATATTGCCAAAAGTCCCCTAGGGAATTAAACCACCCCCGTCTAGAACCACTGGGTTATACTAATGTCATGCACATAAACAAATAGTTGGCGGAGCACTTTGGGCCAGAGACAAAAAAAGCAGTTGGTGCCTTCATGGCCATCACAGTATAGCAGGAGGGTTCAAATTAAGTAAATACATAGAGAATAAAAGCACTAAGGGGTGAAATAAAAGAGGCGTGTGGGAAAGAGAATGGGACCCATTGGGGCCAGAGAACACAAGGCATCTCATGAAGAGGTGACATTTGTGAGAGGCCTGAATGAACAGACAGAGGTCTGCAGAGGGGGTATAACCATTCCAAGAGGAAGAAGTGGAACCTCAATGAATGCAGAGTGTTTGCAAGAAAGCAAGTAGTCGAGTGCAGCTCAACCTTAGAGCCTGAATAAGGAATAATGAGAAATGGGGCTAGGAAAAAGAGTTTAGGAAGTATTAGGCAAATAGTTTAGGAAGTCCTAGTCCATAAAAAGAGATGAAGTTATGATAAATGCATGGACAGCAATGAACCTTGAAAACATTATGCTAAATTAAAGAAAATAGTCCCCAAAGACCACATACTGTATGATGCTATTTATATGACATGCCCAGAATAGGCAAATCCATAGAGACAGAAAGCAGATTAGTGGTTGCCAGGGACCAGGAGGAAAGGGAATGGGATGTGACTGCTAATGGGTATGGGATTTCTCCTTGGGGTAATGAAAATGTTCTGGAATTAGATAGTGGTGATGATTGCACAAACTTATAAATATACTAAAAAAAAAACACAAAAAAACAAACACACACTCCAAAAAAAAAAACATTGACCTGTACACTTTAAAAAGGTGAATGTTGCCCTAGCCGGTTTGGCTCAGTGGATAGAGCGTCAGCCTGCAGACTGAAGGGTCCCAGGTTCGATTCTGGTCAAGGGCACATGCCCATGTTTCGGGCTCGATCCCCAGTAGGGATCATGCAGGAGGCAGACAATCAATGATTCTTTCTCATCATTGATGTTTCTATCTCTCTCTCCCTCTCCCTTCCTCTCTGTAATCAATTATATATATATAGATAGGGTGGATGTTGTGGTACATGAATTACATCTCAGGAAACCAGTTTAGGATCTGTTGTAGAGGGCCTTATA